CTTGGAACTGTTTGAAATTATGGATTCTAGAGGCCACATTCTATAAGAAAACTTTTTTTCCGGGTCATCTGAGACAATTTTTTTTTCGGGCCTCAAAAAAGAGCAGTGTATAACCTTCCTTTTTTACCAAAAATCGACACACCAAAATTTCTCGGGAAAACACTTTTTCTTATTAATTTTGGTGCGTAGAATCCAAAACAATTCGTACTTTTTCGATCAGACTTCTCAATCAAAAGTTATAGACTAGAAACCAATTTCGAAAGAAAATTCAAAGGGCTGTAACTTTTGAACTAGTAGCCCAATCTTGGAACTGTTTGAAATTATGGATTCTACAGGCCACATTCTATAAGAAAATTTTTTTCCGGGTCGATCTGAGACAATTTTTTTTCGGGCCTCAAAAAAAGGCAGTGTTATACCTTCCTTTTTTACCAAAACCGACTGCACCAAAATTTCTCGGGAAAACACTTTTTCTTATTAATTTTTGGTGCGTAGAAACCAAAACAATTCGTACTTTTTCGATCAGACTTCTCAATCAAAAGTTATAGACTAGAAACCAATTTCGAAAGAAAATTCAAAGGGCTGTAACTTTTGAACTAGTAGCCCCAATCTTGGAACTGTTTGAAATTATGGATTCTACAGGCCACATTCTATAAGAAAAATTTTTTTCCGGGTCGATCTGAGACAATTTTTCTTCGGGGCTCAAAAAAAGGCAGTGTATAACCTTCCTTTTTTACCAAAAATCGACTACACCAAAATTTCTCGGGAAAACACTTTTTCTTATTAATTTTGGTTGCGTAGAATCCAAAACAATTCGTACTTTTTCGATCAGACTTCTCAATCAAAAGTTATAGACTAGAAACCAATTTCGAAAAAAAATTCAAAGGGCTGTAACTTTGAACTAGTAGCCCAATCTTGGAACTGTTTGAAATTAGGTATTCTACAGGCCACATTCTATAAGAAAATTTTTTTTCCGGGTCGATCTGAGACAATTTTTTTTTTCCGGGCTCAAAAAAAGGCAGTGTATAACCTTCCTTTTTTACCAAAAATCGACGCCACCAAAATTTCTCGAGAAAACACTTTTTCTTATTAATTTGGATGCGTAGAATCCAAAACAATTCGTACTTTTTCGATCAGACCTCTCAATCAAAATTTATAGACTAGAAACCAATTTCGAAGAAAGATTCAAAGGGCTGTAACTTTTGAACTAGTAGCCCAATCTTGGAACTGTTTGAAATTATGGATTCTGCAGGCCACATTCTATAAGAAAAATTTTTTTCCGGGTCGATCTGAGACAATTTTTTTTTCGGGGCTCAAAAAAAGGCAGTGTATAACCTTCCTTTTTTACCAAAAATCGACTGCACCAAAATTCTCGGGAAAACACTTTTTCTTATTAATTTTCGTTTCTAGTTTTGTGGGATCCGGCAAATACCGGGATCCCGCGGGATTAACATCTAACAATCCCGCAAATACCGGGCTTTTGATTTTGCTGCGGGATTGCATTCCCTATTTCTGATGATAGGATTAAATGGGTGCTTGTTGCTTCTGGGTAACATATTCAAACTTCATGGTTTTTATATGATTTTATTGTCAGCTATTCGTTATGGATCATCTCCATGCCAACCGGTCACCAACTATTTCACAGTCACTAGATTTGCATTCTAATCGGACATTGGAGGTGGAAATACTACAGGAGTATTGGAAGAATGAGTAACGTAGACTTAACTTTAACTTATTTTAATACTAAAATAGGTATACTCGACTAGTCATAATGTAACAAAATATACTTTCATTCATATGAATAAAAAAAATAATGATAGGTACTAAAATAAAGAAAAACTCCTATGAGTTCTATACTTGGTACCGGAATCAGACGTTTCTGTAGCGTTTTGGTTGGTAGTTGGCGCGGGTACTGTGGAAAGCGTTGGAGCGTTTTCCACAGGCTTTAGCTGATTGGACCCACTCGCATTACTCGTACTCAGAAATCCTTGTATTCCCGTTGCGCCTATAGACTGGAGAATTATCAGATTCGAGTTATCATTCTAGTACCTGAATTTCCAACTGAACTTCTGAACAAACCACTTAATGCAGCAATAGTGCCTCGTCTTTCACTTGGTCCAATAGGCGGAATGGCCCCCTTTTCAACATAAGTACTGTTCACTTCAATATAACATGATTTTTATACAGTAAACATTGACAATATTATTTACTACCGATAAACTCTTCACCCAGTTACTAAAGTTATTTTTGGAAGGAAAAACAATAAAAACTCACCTCGCTTGGTCCTTCACGTTTCGACCGATGTGCGAGATCGTCAAACCAACCATAGTTAGACAATGGATCGCCCATTTTTTTGGTCTTTGTTTACTTCGAAATCGACGCTTCAACGTCCCAATACTTACTACAAGCATAATCCAAAACACATTTGTGATAAAAATATCAGTAATAACAAAGCCTTTGAATAGCAATACAGAAGCGACGCTCCAGTCACTATCGTTAATCAGTGTACACTGCTAATTGACCTTGATCTTGTTTTCGATGGTAGGGATCGACTGTCCAAAATTGCGCACTTAATTTACTTCGAAAAACAAAAACGTTCCCATGACATTTGCATGGATATTTAAAAATCGCTCTGTTAAGGAGGAGGTCATGAGAAAACAGTGAGATGTTTTGACTTTCAAAAATTGTATGTGATTTTAAAACCTACCCTTGAGCGAAAAAGTGAGGCTGCTGTATTTAAACAAAACTAAATATATACTGTACCGGTGACCCGTTCATTAGTTTTTGGCTCACATGTTGCCAATAGGTACATTGAAAATTGAATTGTTTGCATGGTAATTCTGATATAGGTAGTTAATGCATCGCGTCACTGTAGACGTTGTAATTAAGAAGGTACTTACCTGATATCTAAGTCATAAAATGAAAATTAAATCGCAAAACAATAATTTTCTCGTATAGGAAAACGATATTTCGTTTAAGTCAAATTTGATGAACATGCTGCAATTCCCCTCAGTTCTCGTCCCACACACAGGAGTTTTGCCAATTGTTATTTGCAAATTGCAATGTATAATAATAGTAACTAACAATACCGAATAAAATAGAAGGTATTGTAACTACCTATCTTACCTCACTATTTAAACAATTAATAACTAGGTAATTAGAAACTTACGTTTTTATTTGTTTAAGAATTATTCCGTAAACAAATCAAAAACCTGCGATAAATTCCCGAGTGTGATTAGAGGTTTATTTTAATCTCAAGGTAATGACTTAATCCTCAGATATGAAAATCTAAAACTTCTAAACTTGCATCTTCGGCACAGTTATGCATTACAAAAATCAAAATCGTGTCACTGGCTGGAGCTATAGTTTGAGATGCGGATCCTGATTCTCTGAGTTGAAGCAAAGTATGATTTTAGGAAAAGAGACGCGCAAAAAGTATATCTACGTGCCGCGAAATAGAAATAACATTAACTATGAGGGTTGCCAACTCTCGATAGGCGAAAAACATTTACACTGAGTTATCTTCGTAGCTCTGCATCTATTTTCGTAACTTGTTAGAGGAACTTTTTAACAATCTAATGTTTAGAGACGTCTACAAAAGAGATTTAAAAGTTATAATGAGTGAACCTCCTTAGATAGGGGTAAAATTATGGCTTTTACAATTATCCTTGTAACTGACTGACTGGACAAACTTCTTTTAAGACAAATGAGCGTTCGTACCTGCTAAGGCTTTCTATGACGTGTCAAAGATCATTTTGTAGTATGGTCTTTGGACGTATGGTTCAAGTGGAAGGTTCCGGTGATCCCTCAATCTTTCCATTACATTGTTGTTGTTGACTGGTCCGTAGCTTGCGTAGCGGCGGCAGTATCGAGCTTGGTTCCTGTGGATGGCCTCCTCCCGAGCTTCTTTTGTAGGTGGGCGTGGTTGTGTAAAGGGCGAACAGTACTACCTAGTAGTCTGGATGCCCAGGCGTTGGGGTTCTTCTGGGATGTGAGTGCGGAGTACCTTTTTTATTTCCTGGTTGCGACGTGCGACGGGGTTTGCTTGATGGAGCCAGATGGGCGTTATCTCCTGTAAACATCCCCGTTTTTGGAGTGCCGCGTCCCACGTGATCGAGGTTGTCTGAGATAACTGCCCTTGAGAAGCCGTAGCGCACGAATACTCGTGTGTTCTAAGTTCTAGGATGTTTGTCGTTGCAGGTGGCTAATTCTCATCGGGAAGGCCTCTACTCATACACTAAAGAGGTCTGTGACGACAAGTAATTGGCTGTACCCTGTGGGTGTGGTGTTGTAAGGGTTTCCGGATTGCAGCTAGTCATATTTATTGAACTGAATGGATTTACCGCGTGATGAAGAATTATTCAAGAATAACGGATAAAGAACTTTATTTGAAGTACCTAACGTGACAAGTAAAATTAGAACATTATTTTTCTCAAAACAACTACTACACACACTCTATATGTATAATTAAAATTGTGTGATCGCCATATCCAACAATATTATAGTCCCTGGCGCAGTGTTCGATCGAAAACAAGAGTTGTACTTGCCATTCAGTATCCTGACTTGAGATGTAATCTTGCAGTGCCGGAGTGTCTCGTGAATGATGGACTGGGTGAAGCTGTCGTCACATGTTCCGGTGGTAGGCGGTGGCGGTAGTCGACGCTTTCCCGTCCTTTATGACTAGGACGTTCGGAGGGACGTGCTTGGCTTTATGTACATACATAAATCCGTCAGCGAGTATGGTCTCGACTTCTTTTGATGAATGAGGAGGTTCTTTTATGGCGAATAGCGATACGGAACCATGCGGAAGGGTGTGCTTAGGATATGGGATATGATACATGGTCTTGGATAACCGCTCGGAATGCGGACAGCATCTCATGGAGACATGTCGGGTGCTTTTCCGAAAATCCGTGGTTGACTACTGGCGCTTGTGGGTTATTTGTAGGTGCGCCGTGGTGGTCGCAGTGCGTGGTTCTGCGATGGGTGCCTCCCGTGACGACGTAGTGGTTTTGTAACCATTCTTGGCCCAGGATGTGGGTGAAGCTTTATTAATTCCCTTCCCGATTATGTCTGACCTCCCAACACATAAAAGAACGCATTACACAACGCACGAGTTCATTCGTGACATCCATATCGAACTGACTGCTACCAAGATTCAAAAGTGCCGAGAAACTTCTGTCCTTTCGACTTGAACGGTAGGTGGCTCTGCTAGTACTTGTTCTCTTAGATCACCATAGAGGTCTGTTGTTCCCAGAGTTGCCAAGTTGCAAGTCAACATTTTCAGTGTGGGCTTGGGGCACCTCTAGGATCATTACAACTATAATTTTTCAATTTTAGTAGTAGCACAGATTAACTATCTGTGGTAGTAGTCAGTTTTTATGAAAGTTTGAACTGATAAATAAATTATCAAAATTAACTCAGTAAAGAAATCATTCCAAGTTGATCATCTTTTATAAATGATGTCACTGGGATTTTGAATTTTTTTTTGGGTAAACAAAGCACAAAACAAAAGAGAAACAATGTGTATGTGTCAGACATACAAGTGTGTCCCTATAAATTATGTTACTTTTATTAGAATGGTAGGTATGCCTAAGGCCTGATATGTGCCATCCAAAATTTGTTTGTTTGGTAAATAGTACTAGCGGTACAGTGATACTTGTCACTAATACCTTTGTTTATTCGTGAATAAACAAAGCAAAGCTAGGTAATACCTTTTATGTCTGATATTACTTACCTACATTACATCATCTAATATATGTATTGTACAAACAGGGTAGGTTTTTCTTGTTAGTTCTTCTCCCATGTCAAAATAAGTGGGCGAAAATACATTGTACACCGCTTTCACTTGAAATGTCCTTTATTTATTTACATTGACTCAATTTTCTCATCAACCTTCGTATTATTATTATTACTTTTGACACAACATAGTAAATGGTTCCAATATTTCGTTCAGGTTAAAAAGTTTTAACATGTTTTGAGATTCAGTTATTGTTAGAGGAAAAGATTAGTTAACTTTAAGATGAGTGGTCCTTTGGTATTGCCCTGGAAATCTCTATACTTTTATAATGTTATTAAAACTACAAAATTGGCAATAAGATAATTTATTATACAGACTTCTCTAAATTAATATGCATCAGTCTTGATATTCACATAAAGCGATAAAAAATCATTATGAAACCTTCCACTCAATGAAAAATCTTAAAACTAAACCATGGTGACAAACAGAAATGATACCTATCGAAATTTATCAGTTAATCTTGTATAATATACCATTTTACAGCTCACAGATATAAAATATGTTTTAACACACAAAATATATAACATTTAGCGTTACATGCGGAATAAAAATATCTTGTAAGCTTTTATTTTTTTTTCGATAAGGACATCGAGTTTTACAAGATTAGGTAAGTTTCAACTGGGATGTTTTATAAGCTCTCAAGTGTCTGGTACAACTAGCATTTTTTAACTTAACAATAGCTAAATATTTTGGTAATTTTCATTAACATTTTAACCACGCAGCTTAAGCATATAATGAAATGGCCGACCGAATGGAAATTAAACGGTAGGGCACAATCGCACAGCTATTTCACTAGTTGACAATCTTTTGTAAAAATCTAACTAAGCATGAAAAAATATATCATATAAAATGCTACTTTTGGTCAGATATATCTTTACAGATATGCAATTTGAATCTTCACAATATACATGTAATTATAAAAGATGCCACTAATGACATCTATTCACAAATAAAAATACTAAATACTAATTACAATAAAATATGCACCATTTGCTTAACAACTGATAAAGGAAAAGAACCTCCAAGTAACTTAAAGAGTAGGGTGTTGTGAATGTTGAGATCGTTGCATTTACTTATTTATATAGTTTTAAAGGAATTGAAGAAGAAACATTATTCAAATTAATATTTACACAACAAAACATGATGACGGTTTCAACTTATTATAAATTTAATTTGAATTTTCCTTTTCTTTTGAATCTGTGAACAAAAATATGATTATCAAAATCATTTCCAATTTCTGGTACCATAAAGAGAAACATAGGCATAGAAAATCTTGGGTTTCCCTATAGTAGTTGAACTAAGAGGGTAAGGTAGAAATTAATGCGGTAGGTACAACGCGCAAAACTACAGGGGCGGATCTATGTATGACTTTCTTAACAGATTCAGGGAGCAAATAAAATAAGCAGTAATAGCAAAATAAAAGAAGAATTTGGAAATAAAGGACCTGGGGTAACTAAATCCCCTGATCCCATTATTAAGATACAGCAACACAATCAATGCTTTTTTCGCTTGGGGGCTACGTCCTCAAAACTCCCAAAACTTGAGTTTTCATTTTTTCATACAAGGGTGGAATGGCTTTGCCAATGATTTTGGGTGCGCGTAAAATACGGTAGAAGAATAATTTTTATCAACCCCATAAGGGGTAGGGGGGTTCTGTAAGATGTGCAAAAAAAAGAAAAAAGCATTTTTGGATCTAGAGAAAAACAGGAAGCGGTTCTTCCTGGACTCTGTAGCTGTTGGGGGTGCCCACCTCTCAAATTTGTTTCAGTCCTGTACGGCCGTCCCTGGGGGAAGAGGAAGGGCGCGAAGTATGGGCGCGACGTTCGCGCGACGTCGTTTTTTGGTCGCAAGTTGAAAAATTCTTAGCGGGCGACGGCATGAAGGTACAAAAAGATCGGTGAGTTTTATACAATTTCTCAAGAAATCACTTGAAATGAAGGGTAGGATTCACATTTTTGTGTTAACGTCATTACTTTCTTGAAATGCGTAAATTATTTTGAAAGCACATTAAAGACCTAACCATCATTTTTTTTTGTTAAAGTCGCTCTGGAAAGTGTTTATAAAGCTCTGGTAGAGGCGTACAAAGCTCTGGAAAGGGTCTAAAAGTCCTAACAAGCTAACAAGCAGAAAGAAGACCACAGAAAGCTATCTAGTGTTTTTAGAATCGTGTAGGTGTTTTCAATAGCGTTGAAAGCTCTCTAGAAGGCTCTCAAAAGGTCCTAAAGGTCACTAGGTCTGGATTCTTTTAAATGGAAAGATTAGAGGTGAATTTTTTCAAATTTTTCAACACTAAGTTTGAATTTATTTTTATATTGAAGCAATTCCAGATCAAATTTCGTCAAGATCATCAGAATATCCTGTTAAAGGAGTAGGAACTTTCAAGAAAAAACAGCAAACCATCCCAACCCTTGGTTTAACTGAAAAAAAAACGTTTCTTTTGGGCCTCAAATACTTTTTTTAATACTATAATGTTCCAATTGTCTTTAAAGATTCAGAGGACTCATCCAGCACATTTCAATTAAAATTGTTTAATATTTATAATTACCTGAATCTCCAGCAGATTCGCCGTTAGTAAGCGGCTCTTCTTTTTTATCCTCCTTCTTTTCCTCCTCTTTGCCATTCTCTACCTTCTTCTCATCACAATCTTTTTTCTCCTCAGAAGGTTGTTTCTTCTTATCCTCTTTACTCTTACCTTTTGCAGGTGTAGCAGGTTTCGGTTTGGGTTCTAAACTGGGATCTAACACAATCTTTCCGATATTCTTATGGTCGTGCATCTTTTGCATTCCATCGTGCACCTGAAAAATAAGGAGCAATTACCTACAATGAATTCCTCCCCATGCTTTTATACGAACATCTTCCAAAGCCCAAGTTGAATCCACCACAGGTCTAATTTTTCCCTCTTTGTACAAATGGAATATTTTATCAACGACTTGTTTTACGAAATCAGTACCACCCTGTTGATACATTAGCCGTCGTAGATTAAATCCGGATAGCGTGCGATTCTCATCGAACAATTTGATTGGAGACACCTTGTCCACTTGCCACCACTATGTAAAAAACAATTTAGATAACAGTGATGAGGTGACGTGGGACTTACAGAACGAGCCGCGCTGAAAAAGCTCTTTGTTTCTCCGGTTACAACGTTAGATGATCCATACAGAATGTACCTGCCCATTGGTTTCAAGATAGCATATCCGCGATTACATTCTTCTCCACAAAGACAATCCAGAACGATGTCGACGCCGTCGGGAAGAACCTTGCGAATTTCTGCAATGTAATCGCTGTTGCGTTCAAGGAGATGGTCGAGTGGACTGTTTGAAGCCTTCAGTGCTTCGTGTTTGCTTTTTGAGCAAATGCCAAAGACCGTAACGTCAGGGATGGTTTTTGCTAATTGTGCTACGGCTTGGCCCTGAAACAAGAAGATTATATTTGTATGTTTCAGAATGGTGCTTCTGTGTTACAGATCTTAAATTTCTGTGATGCGATTTCATGTATCGTTTAAGTTAACACTCATTCCAAAAAAAGGTTTGTTTTCAAGTGCCATCAGTTGCCTGCGCCTGGTCTACGTTAAGATTCAAAAATATGGAGTATACAGTTTGTTTTGATTGGACTATATGCAGGTCGCTTTTAAAATTTAATTTTACCTCCATTACATTACCAAAAAATTAAACAAATATAGCAAACGAGCTCCAGGGTATGGCTGGAGCATGCGCAAAACCAAATTTTGAGCCTGGTACGGAAAAGGTTTTGCCGAGTTGAAAAAGGAAGCAGTGTAGTACAGCGTGGCCTTTTGTTAAGGTTCTCTTGTTATCATAACTTAAAAGTTTCTACCGTCCGAACAGCTACCGCAAATTTGTATTATGTAGTCCAAAACTAAAAAAAAAAAGAAAAGATTCTGCTCTCCCGGACCGTTTCAGAGCCTTTAGAAACCTCTCCATTCAAAGATGTCTAGTCTAGATAGAGGTTACTGGACCCCAGGGACGCTTTCTAGGGGTTTCTCGGTCCTTTCTAAACACGTTTCCCAAATGGTTTCCATACCCCTATAAGTGCTTTCCAGAGCAATTAAATGCCTTTCAATACAATCAAAAACAGACCAGAGCTTCCCATCATCTCGAGACCTTTTATACTCGTAGCGCCTACAGCCATGCGAGCACATTTGATGATTTCTAGCCCTCTTAAACATTTATCGGTCATAAAAGAACCTAAAGGGATGTGGGAAAACCACAGAATGACCGAAATGTGCTACAGAGCCTTGTAAGACGGTCAACGTTTCATTGCTCTAGATAACTTTCGATTGCTTTGGAAAACACCCTTTAAGTCTCATTTTCCAGAACTAGTTCATCCTATCCAGGTCCTTAAAATGTAAACTCTCACGGGTTCAAAGTTCTGGAGAGTACCCCAAAAACTTTTCAGACACACAAGACTCCAGGAAACCCTGGGAGGGTGCCAAAGAACTCTAGAAACGGTCGAAGGTTCTGAAGGCTTCAGAAAGTCTTTTTTCAGAGGTTCAACGTATTTCCTGAGCACTTTAGCGGTTCTCCCCATTTCAAATCCCAAACATTTTCTTCTTTCAAAGCACTTTCTACACTATTCGATCACTTAAGTTCCTTCCAGAGACATATCCTGCAAAGCGTGAGGCAAAAAGCTCTGGGGAGTTAAGAAGGCTTTTTTTACACCTTTAGGATATTCAGTTTTTTAGACATTTTTACTTTCCGACTACACCTACAAAGTGTTTATAAGGAAAAGTATTGTAGTCGTGGTAAATTTTCGATATATCAATTTTTGAGACGTTTTGAAACTCCCGAGACTCCAAACAGTGATTTTTTGCTTGACGTCTGTATGTGTATATGTATGTATGTCGTTCGTTTTTTGTGAACCCGATAACTCAAAACCGCCTGAATCGATTTTGATAAAAAAAAGGGGGTGTATTTAGATTTGCATAGGGAATCGCAAACGTCCTATTTTGTTTTCGGTCTGTTACAATTTTTAGGGTTTCTTAGGGGGTCAAAAGTTTAAAAGGACCAATACGGATTGAAAAATTTTTTGTCATTTTTTTCGCATACACTAATTAATGTGTAAAAAAGTGAATTGAAACGTATGATGCAAGCAGAAGTTTGAATATTTCTATACTGCTTTATAAATCCAGAAACCGGCAAGGTAGGGCAATAAGATTCGTGACCGCAATATATAACTTGAAAGGGATTGGAGTAACTTTATATAACTAATTGCTCAAGTCGAAATAATAGAGCAAACTGTTAACTTGAGCGTGCCCTAACTTTATCTAAAGAAAGGGGATTGGGAGCATCAACCGAAGTTTTGCCAAAGAAAAATCTTTTAAACTAATTGGGCCAATTGTCTTTAAGCACACACTGTGCTATTTCATTTACCGAGTGAGACTGTGATGCGTATAATATTATTCCCTTTATACGAGTCGCGTGTAAATTTAAGATCGATACAGACTGCAGGTAATTTGGCGCGACGCCACTTGTTCCACGTCGACATTTCCTTTATTTTAATGAGCGATAATAATTAGGAAAACCAAGTGGAATAATCCTCCCCATCGCCAGATTAGATTGATTTGATTACGGATGTGGTGCTTGACCTTTTATATGAAAATGAATCAGTGGGAAACTACTTAAAGTATAACAATAGATCTTCGTGTATGTCTAAGAATTGCCTTTATTAAGTCTGATTCAAGCAAAGGGGGGTTAGCTAATTAGCAACGTGGCGGGTCGAGCACGTAACCAGCTTATTTAAATTAATTATACACTTCGACGTGAATGCGGAATACGAAAAACGTATCGTTTAAATTATTTAAGGGATAGTTCTCGATTAAGACCCCCAATTGTGTGACGCCCATGTATTAATCGTTTTGCGTGTGTCGATCAATACCTGCGTCTAGCCGTCGCTATAGTTTGTTCTTCTTTGTTGCATTCTTCTCTATCTACAATGCGGGAGAATTTTCTGGGATTCTGGGATTTTAAGGAAATATGCGACTGCGGCATTAGTTTCCTGTTTATTCCACGTTCATGCACAGTGCGCTAAACTTTTACTTTCAACGTCAATAATATTCTTTAGCTTTACTCACGAGTAACATTTTCTTTTTAAATTCGCATTATTTATTTATTTATTTACTATCCCTCTCTTATTCTTTTATTATTTAGAAGTGCCTACCTACACATTTATCTACGAACTGCCCAATCAGAGAGTTGAAGCACGAAATCTTACTATAAAATATTCTCCAACAAAAACTAGGAACTCAAATAGATTTAGTACTTTATTTGACTACTAATTTTATTGTCGACCATAAGGTCATATTCCTGCAAGTCACAAAAACTTGTGACTAGCCATTTACAATTACGTAGGTTTAAATGGTACATCCTGTAATTGTTTCCAAATTATTAATAAGCACAGAATTGGTTTATTTAATTTGAATTTTTGTTTATGTAGTGTTATTTTCCTTTTAGATTTGTTGTAATTGCGTATTTTTTATTTAGATTTGTTTATATAATTGTAAAACGTGTAATTGCGTGTTTAAACGTAGGCACATCTGGTCATTTACGACAATAGGCTTTGTTATCGAGCGAAATTTGATTAACACGTGCTTTTTGTCGCTGTTAGAAGAGATAAGAGGTGTTGAACGATGTGTGCATTAGGACGGCGTATGCGACGATGTATTCCTTTGCAGCCGGAGTTATCTAATTTAATTCTAATTGGCGCATTATTTGTAAATATCGAAGGAAAGAGGTTATTCTATGATGGAAGTGGTGTTCCCTTAAATACAAGAGACAAGATAAAAAAGAGAGCTGGTTTTTCGACGGTTGTAAAGAGGACTTTTTACCCTAATTTTATTCAGGCGATCCGCCCTATTTGATTGATTTAAGGCGCAGCTCATCATTTATCCAATATTTTAAAAGTTTATTTACAGGATGTTTTCTATAGGTATCAAGTACTTTCAAATCAATATATTTCAGTTCCTTTCAATGGAACACCTTATATATTTTTGTTATCCATTAACTTATTCAAGAACCTTGTACTTTCATTGCTAATACCCTATACCTAACTCCAATGATTTTCGAAATATAGTGACTTTCATAATAAATACAAAATGAAATAATTTATGCATATTTTTGAACATTTATTAAAATTGATTAATAAATGACGTTTTTGTTGCATTTGACCTTATAAATAATTAGTGTATTGAAATTTTCCTCCTTTTATGGTTGTGTAAAAAGAATTTAAAATAATTTCTACAAATGCAAGGTGTACCCTTAAATAAGGATCCTAAAATGAATCTCGACGAAATATTGTATCTGGTTAGTTTTCAACGAATCCTAAATTCGAAAACTGAGAAAAATTACATTTGCACTTCTTAGCCGAAAGAGAAAAATGGTTAGAATGTCATGAAGTTTGCCCACAATTTATGTAGATTAGAATCCTTTATGCACCCACTGTATCGATTCTTGTTTCGTTTGAAGAATCCCATGGATACACCAAGGTCAGTTATAATTTTTGAGAAAATATTAATATCCCGCATCAAAGCATCCAAATTTTCCTGGCAAATTTCTTGCACAAAAGTTTCTGTTCTGGTTTGAAGAGAGTTTAAATCCATCGCGCGGGTACTTTGTACATGCCCAAAACTTCGTGTTAAATTGTCAAAACTGTTGGCTCTGATATGTGCACTTCCTTGCAACGACTGAAACTGTTTCTCCTCAGTCAACACCACTTTTTCAATTTTCTTTATTGTCTCCTGCGTTCTTACCTGCAAGATTTTGGATCAACTTCTATTGATCCTGCACCTTTTTTCATCTCTCACTTACTCAGCACCGTTATAAATGCTGAAGCGTTTTCAAGGATGGTAGATCACAAAAAAATGTCCCCTCGTACATAGGCTTGTTTTCGGACTGAGAACCCTTTGTGCCTACGTGGAGAAATAAATAATTGATTGAATTTGTGGAAAAGAAGATCGAATTACAGTGGAATTGTTGAGGTTCGTCGATATTTATTTTTCACGTGCCCTCGGAGAGCAATTTAAGTGAGACCAGCCAAGCTGATCATAAACTGTAACGCCGAGTTTTGAAAATATGAGTCGTGCATAACAAAATTGGTTTTCTAAATTTTACCGATTGGTCCGGCTGTGTTGTTAGTGAAAGCCGTTTTCGTGTTGCCATTATTTTCAGGTAGCTCTCAAAGCAAAACTATAATAATAAACGCCAAGGAAATTTTATAGCCCTCAAAAACAAATAACCCGAAACGACGTAGTGTCATTTTACGCCGCAGTATAACGCGTAAATATTGCGACGTGGAAAACGATCAAATTCCGCCATTCTCCTTGTACCGTTTAATATTTTCCGAATAGATTTTCTTGCTCGATTAGATTTCGTCCATAATTTACAAGGGGTTGTTTAC